GGTGTATTTTTGGAAATATTGAGATATTTTTGGCCCGGGGTTTGGTACAAAGAATTTAATTGTTGTAACAGTTAAAAAACACATACAGGAAGACGATTGACAGCTTAGATAGCATCAGACTTGTTTACAGTTTGTAAAATACACTCTTGAAGTCGACCAATTTTTTTTGAAAAATTTCTAAAAACGGGAAACTTTCTGTTTTTCGTTACGAATAAATAAAAACGATATATTTGAAGTAGTTTTCTTCACTAATACATCAAAAACACATGCCCACAAACATCCAAAATGAAAAAATCGCGAAAAAAACTATGCGTTTTGAAAAATTGAATTTTGAAACAGGGGTTCTATAGAACCCCGCGCGACAAACACTGCGAGAGTAACTGAACGCGCCTAACCGTGGGTTAAGAAACGAAATTCTACACAGTAACTTCTATATACGGGATATCGAGCCTATTAAATTTTTAAATCGAGTGTGGTATCTCCTGGGCTGGCACTAAATGAAAATTTTATCCGCTATTGGCATCTATCTGTTTATTATTTAGGTTACAGACAGTCGTCCGTACCCTCAAAATGAAGTCTTGTTTTTGCATTTTTATAACTTTAACTAGCTGTTACCCGCGACTTCGCCCGCGGAAGTTTTGCAAGCAAACCCCATTTATATTCAGTATTTCAACAACTATAGTAATTGTTATATAACACCTACCGCTGAGAATCAAACGAACTATTTTCAATTTGATCAATTTTCTGGAACGTTTACAATCGTTCTTTAATCGAACCGATATGCAATAACAATTTCGAATTTAAAACGGTTCGAACATTTTTAAAATCGAAATAGATAAAAATATTTATAACAATGTCCGAAATGTTATTAATTTAATACACCTAAGTACTCGATGAAGACTAAATCCTCTCCCTCTCCCCCGAGGGAGAATTTCGAAAAATCCCTTCTTAGCGCGCATCGCCATGACTTACCCTACTAAAACGCAGATAAAAACAAAAAATCGCATCTAAAATAGTACAGTAAAAGCCGTTCTTCCGGTTAAGACTTAATCGTCTCCCTCTCCCCCCACGAAAAAGTTTCGAAAAATCCCTTCTTAGTGTGTGTTTCCATGACGTACGCTAACTGTCTACCAAATTTCTGCTCTTTAGGTCCAGCAGTTTGCTCTGGGCGATGATGAATCAGTGAGTGAGTCAGTCATTCAGTCATTCAGTCAGTCAGTCAGGACAAGCAATTTTATATATTTAGATAATGCAAAAATTATTTGTCATTATATCTCTTAACACATGGCGCCAGAGGAAATTTTATTTTAAGTAATTATTGCTAAAATCTGCAAAAGTAAATAAAACTACGCATGTAGTAGATCTAGATCTTGTCGTACAAAACTTTTCTATAGACGTAGGAGAACATCGCCCGGAGCGATACAGATTTTGGCAAATGAAGCGAAAATCGCGTTGAAAATTCTTTCGGTGAAGTCGAAAATGTTACGCAACTCGCTGCTGGATTTTTTGCGATTTAAATCAATTCGTGCAATATAAAATATTGAACGTTAATACGAAAAAGGTAAAACAGTAAAGGATCCTAACGAGGCATTAAATTAATTTACCCTTTTATATTAACAAACATTTATACTAAAGTCTTCCTATTTGACTTAAGTCTTTGATACAGCATTTCTTTATAATCGAGCAGTTGCCCGGCGAAACGCACTAACTTGTAATCTGCCTAGGCAATGCTTAGGGGGACTCGATGCTAAGGGCGCCGATCACTGGGCATCTCGGAGGGAAAAGGAAAATATAAGCATCGAAAACGAATTACCGCTGCAAATGGCGGAATGGAAACAGAGATATATTAGACTACAGTATTTTATAATTACATACCGTACGTAGTGGCCGTATAATTGTAGGGTACAGTACAAACTATTAATACTTTACAGGCTGGAACGTGTTCGAGTAAAATAGATCTGTTCGGAAAGTGACACGTTTTACTTTCGTTTCAGATGATGCAGAAAATCTTCTTGGTTCAATTGGTGTTCCTTTGCACGGCAGTACAGGGGTGGTTCTTCGTCAGCGACCGATTTGGTTTCATTACTCAAAGAGTGAATCGAAGGGTAGAATGCGGATCGAACGTTACTTCTTACATCAGCGACTACGACAGTGCCATTCACGTGGTGTGTCGAGGAAACACTTTCGACGCCGAACAGATTCGTGTGTGCACTAATTTTACTTACTTTTTCTTCGTGGTGTTAAGAGAATGCCTCCTCCCCTCTTCCGACGTCGGAACGTCCCTGAAAGATAAAAGTGTTTGGCATTTCTTTTTGATTTCCGAAGACGTTCCACCGAATTCGCGTGTCACCATCAAGAACCTACCGAATCTCCGCGACGTCACTTTATACTATATGCAAAACGTCACGTACACTTTAGAAGAGTTACGCAACGTTGAAAGAATCAATGTGTTGCGCGTAATGACGGAAAAATTTCCGAAGGGATTACTCAATAGGCTCCCCTCGTTAAAAATGATTTACGTAGTCTTAGGAAGAATAAGAAGTTTTCCAGAAGATGCATTTCGTGGTTTGAATAGACTCAAATCTTTATACCTCTTCTACAATCGTTTAGAGGATCTTCCGGAAACTCTTTTCTACGAATTGAAATCTCTAGAGGAACTTAATTTATCCAGAAACTTGTTGACCGTTCTTTCTCCCGCTATATTTAGAGGCTTGACGAGCCTTAAAAAGCTGTTTTTGAATGATAATCGCTTAATTATTCTTCCCGCTTTGTTGTTTGCAGATAATTTCAATTTGATCTCTATTAACATGGATAGCAACCATTTTTGTTCTCTACCGGAAATGCTATTGCAAAACGTTTCAAAATTACTGTTTTTCTTTGCTTGCGACTGCAATATTCGTGAATTGCCACCGAAGATATTTTCCTCTTGTTATGACTTATACAAAGTTCGAATATGCGAAAATCGAATCGATCGTTTACACCCTGATTTGTTTGAAAATAACCGGTATATTGAACGAATAGATTTAGAGAAAAACCGGTTACACGAATTACCTTCCAACGTGTTCCGTAATAACAAACGGCTGTCGAGACTGGATTTAGGCAATAATCTTCTGACCAGAATTCCTTTCGAAGTGTTTGACGACATTCAAAATATTGAAGCATTGTCTTTAACAGGAAACAGAATAACAAAGGTAGAAGAGGGAAAGTTTGAAATTTTGAAAAATCTAAAAGTATTGTATCTGGATAAAAATCCACTGGGCTCTTTACCGGGACCGGCACCGTTCGGAAGACTGCCACGTTTGACATCCTTGGGGCTTTCCATTACCTCCTTCACAGAGTTTCCTCGAATGGACTGGAGCGCGTATAACATCTCGCTGCTCAGACTGAATGACAATCGCCTGTCGATTCTTCGCACCGAAGACCTCCCTCCAGATAATCGCTCTGTAATTTTATTGATGGACAATAGCATCACTACAGTCACGGGAAAAATCACCAGGAATATGAATAACGTCTTTCTCTTTGGAAACCCCTTCCGGTGTGACTGCGCTTTGAGGAATTTCGTCGAAGAAGTTCAGTTTTCGGAAAACGGTCGATCGCTGCTCTGCGAGTCTCCTTCTGACTTGAGGAACAAGACTTTCCAGGAATTGGTTCCTTCCTACGTGTTGTGTCCCATTGTAGAACATTGCCCACAGAACTGTCTCTGTTACTTATATAAAGGCTTTTCGGTGATAGTAAATTGTTCCTTCTCCAATATTTCCCACGCTCCTGCAATACTTCCCGAAAACACCACAATCGTTCACCTGGAACACAACTCTCTTTCCGCAATAAAAATTACAGACAGTTGGTCAGGAGTGGATGAACTGTACTTGGACCACAATCGTTTAAATCCCTCCGAGCATTGGAGGTTTCCTTCTTCGTTGAAAGTTCTCTCTCTTCGATACAACGGTCTACAAGATTTTCCTGGAAAATTTTTGCAATACGTAAGCGATTCTTCTTATATTCGAGTGGACATTAGAAACAACGCATTTTGGTGCAATTGTTCTTTCAAACCCTTCAAACTGTGGTTGAATCGCAACGTTCATAAGATAGTGGAAGCCGAAGAAGTGAAGTGCAGAAGATTATTGTCTGAGAACAACACCGTTGTCGTGTCTTCCATATTGAATTTTCCGGACGATGCGTTTTGTTTGCCTCCTTCTATCGTAACGAACGTTCCTATAATCGTTTCCGGTTCCGTTGTCTGTCTGCTAGGAATATTAACAATGGTGTTCGCTTTCTTTTTTCTGAAGTACAGAAACACCATCTTGGCTTACGTGTACGTGCATTTTCCTTTGTTGTACTGCTGCAAGATTTCCGAACTGGACAAAGATAAGGCGTTCGATGCCTTCATTTCTTACTCCGGCAGCGACAGGGACATCGTCATGTGTTTGTTGAAGGAACTGGAAGATAATGTTCCATTCTTTAAGCTGTGTATCCACGAGCGCGATTGGGTACCCGGTTATGACGTAATATGTCAAATAGAAGCTTCGATTAGAAACAGCAAGAAGACGATATTGCTCCTGTCCGAGGAATTCTTCAACAGCGTGTGGTGTCAAGCGGAGTTTCAAGCGGCCTTGGTACAGTCTTTGGAGGATAAGATGGAAAGGATAATTTTCGTATTGAAGGATACTTCGGTGTGCGACGTAGTTCCCGCGGACATGCGCGAGTTGCTACTTAGCAAGACCTACCTGGTGTGGGGAGAAAGATGGTTTTGGGAAAAGTTGAGATACGCCTTACCACGTTACTCGACTGATAAACCGTTACATCATCAAGTTCACGATGTGGATAGAATTATCTCAAAATTAAGAAGCGAAAGTGTACTTTGATTTGTGATATTATATTTATATATAACAAATATATTTATAATAATGCGCGTAGAATCTTCAGTTTATAAGGTAAAAAAAAATATAAAATCAAGTGATATTTTGTATATGGCGTAAAGTTTCAGACCTGAACAATTATAGGCCTATACAAATTGTAATGCAAAACGTCGAGATGCTTAGATTTCTCCCGAGAGAAAATTAAAATAATAAAGATGTTATTTTATTTCTATATATTCNGTCTATTGCACGGAAACCAAGACCATCAGAATCGGCGAAAACAACTTTAATATTACAGGAGACCCGAAAAGAAAGTATTTTAAGAAGTTTGTCATCACTTCATTTACAAAATGGTTCGTCGTTCGTGAAAATTCAGCGAATGATCGAAGATTTAGACGATGAAGAAATCGAACTGTTGACCACCTTCCTTACCTATGACTATAAACTGGAACCACGAATAATTTTTAATAATCGATAAGGATTGGTTAAAAAACTAATTCTGAAGACTTATTCCAAAACCGTTTGCGAGAATATTCTCCTCAACTTGATATTATGGAAAAGTAAATGACCTGCAATTGGTTATTTGCACTTATTTCCTTTCTGCAATGGCGTCGTTAGTGGACTGAGTTTTTATTTAGTTGTATTGAATTTTTTCAATATATGTCTGTGAATATAATATGTTGCAACTTATTTTAAATTAATATATCTAAAATAATATAAAAAGACTTTATTCGTAATAAGGATATACAATTTTANGTTTTGTTGATTTTAATTTAACATGCTGGCAAGAGGCCAACATGTCCACAGTGTTTTTTTTTTGAGAAATAAAAATAAATTAAATTATTCGCATTCTGACTTGAGGAACAATACTTTAGAGGAACCGATTCGTTCCTACGTGGTGTGTCCCGTTCTAAAACATTACCACCGAAGTGTCGCCGTTACCTATACAAAGGTTTTTTGATCATGGCGAATTGTTCTTTCTTTAATATTTCCCACGCCCCTGCAATACTTCGATCGTAACGAACGTTCCATCTCATCGTTTCCGGTTCCGATATCCGTCTGTTAGGAATATTAACAATGGTGTTCATTTCCTTATTTCTGAAATACAGAAAAGCCATCTTGGCTTACGTACGTGCATTTCCTTCGCTGTACTGCTGCAAGATTTCCGAACTGGACAAAGATAAGGCGTTCGATGCCTCCTTTTCTTATTCCGACAGCGACAGGGATATCGTCACGTGTTTGGAGGAGAAACCACCTCTTTCTTTAAGCTGCGCATTCAACAGCGCCATTGGATACCCGGTTATGACGTAAAATGTCAGATAGAAGCTTCGATTCGAAATAGGGATAAAACGATATTGCTACTGTCTGCGGAATTCTTCAACAGCGTGTAGTGTCGGGCGAAGTTTCGAGCGGATTTGGTGAAAACTTTCAAACCCAAAATAGAAAATATAATTTTTATTTAAGTTTAATTCTGAGTGTAACGTCATTCTCTCGGATACGCGCGTGTTTGTACTCCGCGGGACCTATGTTGGGAGCGGTCGAGACCCGCGTTATCTCGTTATTTGAGTCATAAATCGTTACATTATCGAGTGGACGACGCGAGTGCAAAAATTTCGGAATGAAGAAGCGAAAGTGCTGTTTGATTTGTAATGTGAAAACGCGATATAAATTCAGTTAAAATGATAATATTTATTTAAAGATATTATTTTGTAAGTGTAAACATTCTTTTTGATCGAAACTTTAATCAGAATCGATGACCTCAGCCAGTGGGAAACTTCCTCCGAAAGATGGAATTCACTACCGCGCTGTGTTGTTTGAGCATAATAATCCGCCATTTTGAATCTCAACGCTTAGGAATTTTTTATACTTTTCGCGTAAAAATTTCATGAATGATTTTGAAAATTCGTCTTGTTTTACATTTATTAAGTTGATGGCTAATTTTAAAAAATAAAAAATGAAGTAAAAATTGATAAAATAACTGTATTTATAAAAAACTGCACTAAAGATTTTTATTACAATACTTTTTATATAGATGCCAAATTCCTAAATCCTGGACAATACAAATGTTACCTCCAGGATTTAGGACTTTAATGTTTAGTCGCGTAAAGAGAAATTTCGCGTAAGTACCATTTGTGCATTGTAATACATTATTTATAATACAATAAAATATTAAATTTTCCGTCGTTTAGTCTTTCGTATATTTTCAATCTACCGGGACTTTTCATTTCGCATTAACTTTTTACGCGAAGCAAAACCTGGTGCACTCGTATAATATAAAAATTCTTTTCTTCTCGATACAAATTCTAATTTCACGCCTTTCGTAATTCGTTCTTAATTAACACCACTTTTATTATTTCGGGTGTTACCTTTACGTAACGAGGAATCGTGTCAAAATTGACCCTCCGAGATTTTTGAAAATCTCCACGTTGTCAGACTTTCTGAACTAAAAAAAAAGATGAGAAAACGGCAAAAATATGCGTGTTTACTAAGGATGCACCGATAAGCAAAATGGCCGATTACCGATTACCGATTAATCGGCCATGCATTATCAGCCGATACCGATTAATCGACCGATTAGTGTTAATAATTTATTCTGGAGTTAATTATACAGTTAATTATAATGTGGAAAAACCCCATTTTTCTCCACCCGGTATTTCCACCTCCCTCGGGTCAGGTAAACAAAAGACGATCGAATATCCTCGCAAAATCAACAATCTCTTCCTTTGTTTCTAAAATAAATCTTAACACTTAATTGTTGACGCATGGAAACTTCGACATCGTTTAAAAAGCTGAAATGTCTCCGTGTTTAACAGAAACAAAATATATTTCTTTAACCGCTGATATTTGGACAGCAACTACAAACAATTCTCCTTTTTTAAGTGTAACAACCCACTGGTTGAAGGATGATTTTCAGCAGAAAAGAGCTGTTTTGCAAATCGTTTCCTTCGAAGGTTCCCACACAGCTACACGAATCAGTGAACAGTTAAAAATTGTTCTTGAACAGTATAAGTTGACAAGTGATAAGATATTCTTGGTACTAAAAGATTCTGCGGCAAATCTGGTAGCTGGAAGTAGGAATTGCAACTTAGAAGCATTATCGTGTTTTATACATACGCTGCAGCTGACAATAAACGAATGCATATTTTCTAAACAAGATGTGAAAACTATAATCCCAGTTAATAGAAATATTGTCACACATTTTAATCATTCTGCTGTAGCTGTAATCAAATTGGTAGATTTGCAAGAAAAGTTATGCCTTGAAAATGGTGAAATTCTCATGTTTTTGCATTGCAATTTAAGGGTTTTACAGTTTGAATATTAAATTTTTATTTGTTTTATATGTTTAAAGTTTAAACTTTGTATTATACGTTATATTATACNCTTTCTACATCCGAAGTATAGGAAATGTTTTTGATTCGTGCTAATTTAAACTATTTGAATATACCGCATTTGTGTTTAGTTAGGTCGATGATCGAGATTGAAAACCGCGCGATTTATTTCACACCATACGGAAACCGATTATGACCCATTACACCCGCCTTGGGGTAAAAACGGTTTCTTTGGCAATGTCAGTTCAAAAAGTTTACGGTAATTTAATTTCTTCACAAAGCGCCAACCCTTAAATCACAAATGCTCTGTGAACTAAAAAGATGTAAAAAATTAATTTAATTAATGAATTAATTAATTAATAAGGGGTCATGTAGCCTGCTCTTTTATCTATATTTTCATTTTAAAATATTAATTTCTAAAAATGTGTTAAAGAGTCCGACTTTCTTACTTAAGTTAACGATTTTCAAAAGCTTTTCAACAAATTGAAAGCAGCTAATCTCGAAACGAATCGCCGGAGATTCTCCATTGAAAATATCAATTGTCATCGAAATATCAACGATGTGTTACACAGAATACAAATTTTAATAATAGATTTTCTGAGTTACAGATTGTTACTTTCATTTCTGTTCTTTCTGTATATAAAGTATTGTTTTATTGTCGAATTTCAATGTTTACTTTGCCATTGAATTACAACTTTATTATCTAATTATTACACATTTTCGAATATAATACTTGAACGAAATTCACCACAAAAGCATATACAGGTTGGGGCAAATAAAAGTAGCCCGGACCAGTGGATACGATTGGACGTAAATTTATGCGTATAACCACACCCCGTGACGCGCACACTACGTGTACGCCCGCCACGCGATTCACACCGGTTCAGAGCGTAGTGTGGGCTGTCAGTGCGAGTGGAGCAGTGGAAAGGGGACGATGGTACTCACAGTGGAGCAGCGGGAGTTCGTCATGGAAAGCTACGCGACAACAAAGTGGTGGAAACGGTGTGGTCAGTTGTTTGCTGAGCGGTTTAATGGTGTCAAAGTGCTTGAAAACACTAAAGTGCCAAAATTATTACAAAAGTTGCTTCTAGCCCTTGGTATAATTAAATTAATATAATACTAAAGTGCTTTTTCTTACTGCCAACAAAGTCCTCTGTTAGCGAACAATACTCCGAATCAACCGGACGCCTGTCGCGAGAGACCGGCGTATCACGTCGATCGTGCGGACGAATACCCCACCTGGTCCCGCGCACGCATTCCTACCGAGTGTCTGTTGTTCACGCATTAAAAGCAGCAGCGCCTCCAGTTTTGCCAGTGGCCGTTCACCGAGATAACAACGAATGGCTCGGACACGGATCTGTTCTTTGCGTCTGACGAAGCCCGGTTTCACCCGAGTATCTATGTCAACTCGCAGAATCGCAGGTTCTGGGCAGCGGAGAATCCGCATAACTTCCACGAAACACCATTGCACGATCAGAGGGTTGAGGTTTGGTTCGCAGTGTCTCTCGCCAACCAGGGCCCAAAGGTGCCGAGAGACGAATGGTGGTCACTTTCAACATCCGCTATAATCAGGTTAGTACCGTATTTCCTTTCCTCCGCCGTGTTTCTTTGTACTCGGGTCGCTTTTATTTGCCTCACCCTGTAAAAGTAACATTTGTTACAGCACATTCGAAATAAACAAAATTCCTTTCTATAGAAACAAATGCAAAATAACCGGTTTCCGTCCAACCGCAGGAATTTGACGTTTGACGTTGGATATACGAGCAACGCCGTGCCGAAATATCCATTGCATTTTTATAAATTAATTAATTTTTATATACAGTCGATTTTCTCATTTACAGGTAGCGTTATCCACTGGCATAAAAGTTAGAATAATTAGCTAAATATAATTCTTACAAAAAAAAATATAATTATAAAAAATGTATATTATATTCACCGAATTACTGCCGCAACGATATAGTGCGAAATACACGCGCCGTTACGCCTTCACTGCGAAAGGTAGCGCATAGCACTCGCCTGCTCGGAGCGTAGTAGTGTTTTGCCCCGTACATCATCTTTTCCCCGTTAGCGATAGAGTCGTACCAGTTACGTATCTAACTCTTCTCGGAATAAAATATATGTATTCAATCGGTGTCTACTTCACCGATGAATTTGTGCCATTTCGTACCATCCGAGTATGGTGATAAACGCGACAATGGTAGGCTGAAATAACCAAACACTTTACGGTATACGTTTTAATGTTTGTTCTATTATAGTAACTGATTTATATTACTAGAAAGGGAATATAATTTTTGTAAATATGAATCAAATACTATATTATAATATAATGGAAGAGTTATACGAAATAATGTAATAATCTTAATCTGGCAGCAAAGGGAATTTTCCACGGAAATTCCGCTTTTATCTCCCGTCCTTTTTCCAACTGGATATTACGTCAGCCTGGCGATACGGTGGGCTTTTAAAGAGAAAAAGAGACCTTTCCGTTAGTATTTATCGATTTAACGGTATACATATAAGGAATTGAATAAATGGCCATTTCGGACGGATCACCTTCCGGGTGAACGTTTAACCTGTTTTTATTGGGTGAGAGTAACGCTTAGAGTAAGATAACTCGTTATTTGGACGTAACGATTAGAATCCCCTTTTGTACAGAGTGACGTTGGCTTTGTATATAAAGAAAATAACTCAAATAGAAACGAGAAAGATCCTTAACATTCGTTTGATTCCGTAACACGAGAAAAAAATAAAATCGTTGTTTATATTGTTTTTCCTACGTCCGATTTTATCGATAAATTAATTAATTAATACGAAATGATTTGATTTGAGAAAAACCTTTCTACAGTAATTCGAATTAAAATACAGTACTGTATTTATTACGTAATTCTAATTACGAATATAAAACAGTTTAAAAATAGATGGAACAATGAGAAACACGGAGACAAAAAAGAAATAATCCGGGTCATCGATCAAACAAAAGGAAACGCTTTCTATGGAATACCTTATCGGTTTCCCGGGAGGAAACATCTTCGCCTGACACCGGGATTTCCGATTTGAATTTTTTTTGGCAAAGACGCGATGTCTTTTACCAAATTTGGTTAACACGGAATTATAAAAACACAAGAAAGTCTGCCAGACGAGGTGCAGAAAACGGAGGATGCGGAAGAGCGGGGATGTCTACCCGATGTCCGCGAAAGGCAACGCGGGATTACCTCTGGCGGAAACTTTCTAAGGGAATCTGGTCCTTAGTTAGGATATAAACGCGTAAATAAAATCCGGAAAACTGCGCGTCGGTGGAGTGCAATCGTCTACGAGCGTATTACACTCGATAATCTTTCAAAATTGCGCTTATCCAAAATCATCTCGGAAAAAAAATGGATTTTCCAGAGAAATCCCGTCTCGATGGGGATATGTAGTCTGCTCTTTTATCTATATTTTCATTTCAAAATATTAATTTCTAAAAATGTGTTAAAGAGTCCGATTTTCTTACTTTAACGATTTTCAAAAATTTTTGAACAAATCGAAAGCAGCTAATCTCGAAACGAATCGCCGGAGATTCTCCATTGAAAATATCAATTGTCATCGAAATATCAACGATGTGTTACACAGAATACAAATTTTAATAATAGATTTTCTGAGTTACAGATTGTTACTTTCATTTCTGTTCTTTCTGTATATAANAGTGGATTTTCCAGAGAAATCCCGTCTCGATGTCTCACCCGTCTTTCCGGCCAGGTATTGCATCACAGCTACAACATCATTCGGCGTTAAAGAGAAAAATAAAAATTCCTGTCGGTGTTTAACGAATTAAGGACATAACTGCTTGCCATCCCGTTATAAGCAGTTAAACGAACGGCTATGTCGGCGGAGCGTCAAAGGATCTCCCTCCAAGTAAGTGTCCAATAATTCGTCGTAACGTTTAGAAATTCCTCTTATAGCCATTGACGTTTGCGTTGTACGTGGCATATAATGAAAGACCTTTCGATAAGCGCGCGATGCCAAACACTAGAAGTAGACGAAAGCATTGCTTATAATTAGTCCTTTGGATAAATTTATATACAAACATATTATTTGAGAAAAACTTTCTGCAATTTTATTAAAATACAAAGAAAACGCGGCGATTTCGTCTTCTGTCGTTAAACGTGACGAGAGTCGACTTTCCTGTTTGCGTCATTTTGTCCTTGAATAATTGTATATTTATTTCTGGTCGAAAGAACGTTGGGATGACTGTCCGTAGTAAACAGGCGAAGCTAAATAACTTAATTCTTAATGTTATAAAAAGAATCGAAGCGATGTAGGCTTATTTCACTCTTTCTAAAGATACATTCCCCGTCGGTATCGCGTAAATTTTCTTGTTTTTAAGAGTAAATTGGTAAGTTTTCGTCCGTACAGGATAACAAGTAAATGAAAAATTAATATAAAAATATATTGTCTAGTTAAATTGTCGGGTAACGGTGTAAAGGTACGCGTAGAAATTCCGGTGGATGTCCTATTTACGTAAATCTATTTGAAGGATTGTTTGTCGTCCGTATATGCGTGACGCAAAGTTAAGACTTTGCCCGTAAGATGGAAACTGAAATTATCGATTCTTATAAAAATACCGAAGAAAATGGCCCGGGATTATCGACAATTTCTACGGAAGATATCGGTAGAAACCATAGTATGGCTGTAAGGACATCTGTCAATATGTCGAGACGACATTGAAAACACTAAAGTGCCAAAATTATTACAAAAGTTGCTTCTAGCCCTTGGTATAATTAAATTAATATAATACTAAAGTGCTTTTTCTTACTGCTAACAAAGTCCTCTGTTAGCGAACAATACTCAGACCTTCCTCAAAATCGGCACGCGGTGAAACGTAACCCTTCTCGTCACCAATGTCTCGCCATTTACGATTAAAACCATCAGATCCCTCCACGCGAAGGTTTTTCGCGTCGGGGACACGTTAGCATTTGACGATAGACGTGAGGAGCCAAAGACATAGAGCCACTTAACTCTAATTCTGTGTCACTTACGTGGCACGCGATCGTTAGATTGGCTCACTTTGTCAACGGATGACTTCCTACGAAGTTTATAAATGAACGGATGTACGTAACAACCTTGAAAGTTGCTTTTTCCCGACACCAGATAGTCAAATTCGCGGACTATCTCGCGTTCGCGAAGAATTTCGAGCGGGAGGGACGCGAATAAATGGAGTGGACGTAATGACTAAATTTAAAGCTTAAGGAGACCATATTATAAACAAATAACAAACAAATTTAATTGAATCAAACGAATAATAATACAATTAATGGGATTGCAAATGATATATTCTAGAGCTATCTGGCGGAGAGAAATCAACTGTCTACTTAATCTTCATTCATCTATACGCGTGAAACAGAGTTTACATCAATCTGCAGATTATACTACCTTCGCAATATCAAGTTTACGCTTGTCTTCGGTTGTCTTTCCGTTCGGGATACGGGAGAAGGTCGCGAATCTCATAGCGTAACATTTTCGTGGGTGCATTATAAAAATATTTCTGACTTCTTACGTGTGGCCGTACTGCATAAATTATGTGACAACTTCCTCTTCTTACGAACTGCCAAATTGTATGGTAATCTTCCCCCCGAATGACTACCTCGATTGGCGAGAAAAAGCCCCTATTTATAGAGCAGCGATTCCCAACCTGTGGTACACGTACCCCTAGGGGTACGCGATAGGTTGTTTAGGGGTACAGAAAAAAGTTAGTTATTATGGCAGAAAAAATAATATATTATGTATCACAAACTAATAGTATTAAAAAATTATTAGGTAAAATATGTTCCTTGCAACAATCACAACTTCATTATACATTTTTTCTTTTAGGTTTTTTTTCTTTAATTTAAAGTTACAATATGTAAAATTAACAATACGGTTACTCACTAAATTTCTTAAATGAGGGGTACAATCTAGAGATATGACATGTCAAGGGGTACGCTAATGAAAAAAGGTTGGGAACCACTGTTATAGAGGATCTCCAAGCGGCCCGCACCGTATGCAAAACTCATTCGTCGGCCAGTCGGCTGTCTAACAGGAAGTTCGATTTCCCTTCTTTTCGAAAATGACGGATGTTATATCCTTTCTTTGTTTAGAATGTTCTCCTCGATAATAAAATATTTTAATAATATTTTATATTAATTAAAACGATTCCGCGGATCTCAAAATAGACCTAATGCGGAGCGTTGCAAACTCCAAATGCGAATTTGAAGCGATTTACCTCAAGATAGACGAGATTGTACTTTTACACCGACCGCACGAAACACTCATTTCGATTTTATTTCTGCTGTTTAATTGAATTTCGTCTGCCATTGCCAACGACAGTTTGTAATGTATTTCCGAGCTTTACTTTTCCAGTTAACTGCATTACATGGCTCTGGACCTTGTACGAAATTCTTCGATACAGTAGTATATTTCTTCCCGACTTTGCATTCCTTCCAACAAATTAGAAGCTGTGGTGTGAGGAAAATCGGAATGTAAAAGCGTCCAGCAATATCTTTTAAGTATAGGCTAATTTAGGTCGGTAGCCATCTGGTTACAATTACAGTAAAAATACAAATTAATTCCCGTTCAGACTCGTTCTCTTCGGCATTTCACTCCTTTATAACGAATTAAATGCAAGTTTTCTTTGCAGAATGCCTCGGAAATAAAAGTGAAAAACCTGTTGAACCTGCTGTTGTGTATCGCTTTGGCTCAGTGTTGCACCGAATTCTTGAGCAGATGGAAAAATGTCCCGTGTCCCAGGTTTTTTCTACGGGTCACCAGAACCGATTGTCTTCTAAGCGAAAACGTTTTCGTCGTTGTTAACGTCGGCTTTCTTTTTATCGATTGCTACGGGGCGGAACCCGATCGTCGGATATTCCGTTGTTTGCAACAGAAAGAAGACGTTGTTTTAAAAATGCGCAATTGTTATTTTCGGAATTTTAGTTTGAGTGAATTTTTATCTGGACTCGTCATACGCAATTTGCAAATTGCATTTACCACAATCGAACCGAATTATCAAACTTTGCACTTTGAAAACTTGCCATTTGTCACAAACGTATCCCTGTATGGAATAAGAACTGGAGGATCATTCGACCTGACGTTCGATTCTCAACCCATCATCCACGCATTACTAATAAACCATTACAATTTCACTTCCTTTACTCGGCCACCATTTAAAAACTTGACAAATCTTCCAATTTTGAGAATAGTAAATGGAACTCTTCAGCATGTTCAGGTGGAGCTACTCCAAGAGTTGAGAAATCTCAGAATACTCAGCTTGTACAATAACAGAATAAAAGAGATTCCACGCGGATTCTTTAAAAATCTCACATTGTTAACGTATTTAGATTTATCCGATAATCACATCGAGAACTTCTCGGAAGACATCTTTTCCGATCTCTTCAGCCTAGAAATACTTCGGATCAAAAACAATAAACTGACGGTTCTTCCGGAAAATCTGCTCTCCTCCCTCACTCAGTTAATCGGTCTCGAAATGAGTGGAAATACAGGAATAAAAAACTTACCCAAAGGATTCTTAAGAGGCTTGACACGCTTAGAACATCTTCGGGCATCCAGATGCTCTTTGGAACGTCTGGAGGAATCTTTATTTTCAGACACCACCTTTTTGATAGAATGCTTGCTAGATTTTAATAACATTACACGTCTACCGGAAGCACTGTTTAATAACACGGAACATTTGAGTCGTTTGTCGATGACTGGAAATAAATTATCGTCTTTGCCACCGCGTGTATTTTCCAACTTAAAGAGACTCGGATCATTAGACTTATCGTACAACAGACTGAACCATTTACATAAAGATATCTTCAAGCGCTTATCAACACTGGCAGTGTTGCGGTTATCCGATAACGATTTGTCCTCCTTGCACGATGATACACTTCTACCTCTTTCGAATTTGAAGATCATCGACCTATCAAATAACAACTTTGAATGTTTATCCGCAAAATATCCTTTTAGTTCTAGCAATCATTTGGAAAGTCTAAACATCAGCAACTCGAATCTGAAGACTTTTCCTAATATTGATTGGTCGAATAACAACCTGACTGAAGTCGATCTATCCCACAATCAATTTCAAGAAGTCACTCTACCCGTGTTTACAAGAAACCACACCAAAATATTGCTCAACCACAACAACATCTCCACTATCTACATTGACTATCGACGACATTCTAACAGTTATCCAGTGTATAACGTTACTGGAAACGTCATCGAGTGCGATTGTCGAATCAGACAATTCTTGCGATTTCTTCACTCTGACGAAAACGCCGTCCGCATTTTCCCAGATTCCAATATCCTGAGATGCAATGGACGATCCAAAAGGAAACTAACAGAAATCTGGCCAATTTACAGTGTCTGTCCGCGGAAAGAGGAATGTCCTTTGTTTTGCAAGTGTTACCTGACACTAGAAGGACAAAGTACAATCGATTGTTCTCGTAGAAGTTTATCTTATCCGCCCGCGAGTCTTCCCGTCAATTCAACATTTGTCAATCTGAACAACAACCACATTGTAAATCTGTCCGAACTGAATGGGACTACGTGGGAAAACGTCACCCATTTGTATCTTAGTAACAATTCTCTGACGTCACTGAACGATTGGGTCGTTCCGGAAAATCTCCGCTATTTGGCTCTGGATGGAAACAAGCTGTCGGATTTGCCCCCTTCTCTGATGAAGCGCGTGGAAGATTCGTCAAACTTCAGCATCTTTCTCTCCAGAAACGAGTGGAAATGCGATTGTCACTCTGTCCATTTCAAGAAGTGGTTTACGCGGAATTTGCTTAAGATCCGTGATTCCGAGAACGTAACCTGCCAGAGAGTCAATAGAGTTAACAATTCCGTAACACACGAGCTAATTGAAAGTATACCGCTGGATGTGTTTTGTCTAAAGAAACCGGTGTGGCCTTTATGGCAAGTAATAGTTCTTACAGTTTCGGTAGCGTTTGTATTGACGTCATCAGTTCTCGTAGTTGTCTGTTACCATTACAGACTCGCTATATTGGCCTTTCTGTACAGTCGAGACGTGTACTTGCCCTGTTGCTACAGGATCCTCGACGACGATGAAAAGAAGTACGACGCTTTTGTGTGTTATAATAGTTCCGATTCTATCTTAACCATGGAGATGGTGGATCGACTGGAACCCACTTATCGCCTTTGTGTTCACGAACGTGATTGGTTGGCGGGTAACGCTATTAGCGAGAACATCGTGTATTCCGTGCTTAACAGTAGAAGGACGGTGATATTATTGTCTCGACAGTTCCTGGACAGCATGTGGTTCAGTGTGGAGTTTCGCGTGGCTTACAACAGGATGATGGAAGACCAAGCTTATCGTTTGGTTTT